GAAGTTTTTAAGAAGAGACTGGACAGCCATTTGTCCGAAATGGTATAGGGTTTCCTGCCTGAGCGGGGGGTGGACTAGATGACCTCCAAGGTCCCTTCCAACTTTATTATTATTATTATTATTATTATTATTATTATTATTATTATTATTATTATTATTATTATTATTATTATTATTATTATTATTATTATTATTATTACTCAGAGAGGGAGAATACTCCATAATTCTCTAAGGGATTTCTGGATTCATCAGATTTAACCATATACAGCATTGTTATTAGGTGGCGAAAACAGCTTTCTTAAAGCTTTTTTTGGCTTAGCAGGCCAAGATTAGCAAATATAAATAAAAATCTGGTTCCAAATTTTGGAGTGTTCTTAATGGCCACCTCAACTATCAATTACTTTTGAAAGACAGGCCTTGCTCCTACTTGGAGCCCAACTCAGTAAAATGATGAAACAGAGGGGGGGGGGGGAAACAACTAGAGTTCTTTGAATAACTACAGATTTTCTTACATAAGGCCATGTTTTGTCTGAGGTTGACTAGGGCCTGCAGTGGAGAAAAGGGAATTGGAGAAGAGGAAGGAAAGAAGAACGGAGGCGAGGGAAAGAGCATACACTACGCAACCTTGTTAAGCCAGCTGTTTGTCTATATATAGGGATGTGTGTGGGAGTCATTCTCTGTATGGCCATCACATGCAGTTCTTCAGTTGTGTGTCTTTCTTCTCTCTTCCTTGCTTAGTTAAAGAACGTATCATAGTTATTCCCACGAAAGAGTTAAAATCTTCGTTTTCCTGTCCACTTGACCTGCACCCAAGAAACAGAGCTGGGTTGAATGCCCTATTATAAAAATAAATAGTAAGATATATTGGTCATAAATTAGATCCAGTTAATGATGTGGGTGGTTTGGTTCTCAGTGTCAAGGAAAGGAAGTTAAACTTTAAATGTTATTTGTCTCCAGATGAGTAGATAAGAAATTATCTGTTAATTTATCAGTAGAAATTTCCCTAAAGGAAAACTCTTGACCACTATTTAAGAACAAACTTTCTTAACTGATATTGTCCAACACATAGACAAGCTCCTACTGTCATTAACAGAAAAATCCCAAACAACATAGGGAACAGCTCTTTCTGAGATTTGTCTAGATCAGTATTTCTTCACCCTGGCAGCTTGAAGATGTATGGACTTCAACTCCCAGAATTTCCCAGCCAGCAAGGGTGATAGAAGAATTCTGGGAGTTGAAGTCCACAGTTCTTCAAGTAGCCAAGGTTGAGAAACACTGGTCTAGTCTAGTGTTCTTCAACCTGGGCAACTTCAAGATGTGTGGACTTCAACTCCCAGAATTCCCCAGGCAGCTATGACAGTTCAAAGTTACGAGAGCCTTGGAAAAAGTTACTTACAAGCCACCCTTGAAGTTACGACTATCACACCCTCCCTTGGTCATATGATCACAATTCAGACACTTGGCAATTCAGACACTTGGCAATCAAGCATGTACAACAGTTGCAGTCTCCTGCAGTCACGTGATCATGATCTGTAACTTTCCCAGCTGGCTTCCTATCAGCAAAATCAATTGAGGAAGCCATATTCACTTAATGACTGTATGATGTACTTAATGACCATTTAATTTGCTTAATGATGACAGTGATTCATTTAACAACTGCAGTTAAAAGGTCATAAAATTGGGTCAGGTCACATGAGGACTAACTTAACAACCTCATTGTTTAATGATCAAAATTCCAGTCCTAATTGTGATCACAATTTAAAGACTATAATGTACCAGAAGGAGAAGGTCTGTTCTGAATCGTGTAACTCTGTGTAACCCTAACTAGAGCATGTATCTGTATGTTAGAATATCTGGCATTTATTGGGTTAATTGCTGTCTCCTTAAGAGATGGCTTATGGGAAATGTAGTTTTAGCTAGTCAGCTATAGCATGTTAATAGGTTAGTGGGAGGAGTTTCTAAAGGGCATTGGGAGACTTCCTGGACACAAGCCAGATTGGAATGTCTTTGTCTAAATAGAAGCATGGGCCATCGGATGCCACCTGATGGCCCTGTTCCGCTATAAAGATGGTATGGAGAGAGCATTATCTTCTCACTATTTTGACCCAGAATTAAGTTGCGTTGTAAACCCGGGTCAGATA